CAGCAACAGGACAAGAGGCAACGGGCAGAAACTGAACCACAGGAAGTTCCATCTGAACCTGAGGAAAAACTTTTTTCCTATGGGGGTGACAGAGCACTGGAGCGGGTTGCCCAGAGAAGTTGTGGAGTCTCCTTCGCTGGAGATATTCAAAACCCTCCTGGACGCGATCCTGTGCAATATGCTCTAGAGGACCCTGGCTGAGCAGGGGGGTTGGACTAGATGATCTCCAGAGGTCCCTTCCAACCTAAACCATTCTGTGATTCCGTGATTCTGTGATTTTTTTCTTATTTCGTCAGCATTAATAAGTGCCCTTCATGTTCCACAGTGAGCCATGAGACTTCATTTCAATAATGGTTGATTACCAGATGCTGATGACTTTTTTACCTCCTTTAGGGAATTCTTCTCCTACTGGATTCACCTAAGAAAAAAAAGGGAAATGTGCAGGACCGCTTCCTTTCTAAATATGATTTCATCATTGGTTTTTGATCATTTTTAATAGTTTAATCTTTTTGAAGGGAATAGTGAACAAACTTTCCGGTATCTAGCAGTACCTAATGCTACCTTACTGTAGTGGGTACCAAGGCCCAAACTGGCCCTCCTTCCAAGTCTTGTGGACTAAAGAAAAAAAGGTATTTTCTTAATGGAAAAGAATCAGTGAGCACAGCACTCACCTAAGATGGTTTAATCCAAAGACAGTTGGAAAACTCCCATTGAGATAAGTGAATTTCAGATCAGATTTGTACACAGTAGTCACATACAGCATATACCCAAGATTGGAGCTAATCTCAGTGTAGGGCACTAGGGAATAATTTCCGTTTTGGGGATGATGTAACATCTGTGTTGTCATCAAACTCTTTTTTCTTAAGTTTGATGTGTCTGTCATCCTTTCTCATTTCCAATCTGCATGAGTATCCCTCTGCCTCTCTGTCATATAGAGCACAAAAGATGCAAGTAGAGAAAAAAAGATACAAAGATGTCACACCCAGTCACCAGCCTTCAGAAGGTTTCCACTGCCAAACTCGTTTCATTTGCAAAAGATGGACTCAGAGGAGGGTGTGACTTGGCCAAAAAGTAAGTGGAGAAACACAAAGAATGACACTGAGATATGATATAAAACATATTAGTCTGGAAGATGAATTGTGTTCTGAGGTCAATACCAACAATTTCTCAGAAATAGCTGAAATATAGACTTTATATTTATAGTCTAGCTCCATGTGACCATTGGCTTGTTCTGGTGAACTGAGAGAATGGGAATTCCTTGGTGATTAAATAGTTAAAGCAGTATGTGATATTTTGTGGCACAAAACTACTGAAGATGTGAAGAAAACTACTGGCCCTTGACTAAGTAATACAGCAATAGAAATCTGTCACAGTAACACAGTGCACCCATGTTACTTGTATGCTTTTGGTCTGAGTCGTTTATATATTTCTGTAAATTATTCTGATTTCTATAATCTATTTATCTCTATGCAGTGCCATATTAATACAATCAGTCAGCCTCAGCTTGAGCCTGGATAACGACCTGAAGGTAGTGAGGTAACACAGGCAAAATTTAGAAACCAAACTGACAAATCTCTGAATGCTGGGCACTCCAGAGCTCTATATATCTGCAGTGCTAAAATGAATGACTAAATAGATTTTAAATAATACTCAAAACCTCTTGAAATCTGAATGCAGAGAGGGATCAAGTGCCTTGAGCAAAAATACAATATTATTGTATGGTCTCTTTTTAGGTAGAATCACATTACAATGTAAAAATCACTGTTACGTATTGCAACACATATTGAGGCAGTTGTGGACACAAATGTTAAAAACTCTATTGCTTTTTGAAAGTAAAAAATAATAATCTCCTATTAATTAAATTGATTTATTGTATCTGTGATTGGTATCAGCCAAGGACAGAAACAGAAATGGAAAAAGGCAAGAAATGCTTTTTTCACAATGCCCCCAATGTTGATGCATCCAGGAAAGAGAAGAAATTTCTATAAGAAATCCTTCTGAAGTGGTATACTCTTATTAATGCCATCAGACAAGATCTTAACTACAATGAAGGAGATATAACCCTTATTGGAAGGTATGTTCCATGGTACATCAGTGCTTTCCATTTGGTTGAAATGATGCTGTACTGCTTGAATTTACATGGTCTTAGTGCATCCTGGGAAGTGTAACTTGGCCGTGAAGTCCAAGAGAGAAAGGATAATGAAGAAATAAGATCCTTTTAAATATAGTTCCAAGCATGGTGACATCTCAAAGCAATACATATTGCTGCTTGGTTCAACAAGCTAAGTGGAAATGCTTTGATTTGGGAATGTCAAAACATTTCATTTTGATCAGATATGTGAAAATTAAATTTATTGAAAAAAATGTTCTTAACTATTTCTATAGTCAATGTTTTTACTGCAATTACTATTGATAGGTATGAGAGAGAATTCAAACTACTGGAATTTCTTATGACAGAAAAGCACAAAATCAGTTGTTTTTTTGCCAAATTGCCAAATATGTATTGGACAAGAAAATGGAATCTAAAAATAAGGAAACAATCAAATTATACAGGTATCAGTTTCAACACAGACATGATCTGATTTCCCAGGATATTGCAAGGACATCTAAAATTCTTTTTAGCAGGTGCATGACAAATTTTGGTACAAAAAAAGAAAAAAATCTTAACCTGGCATTATCCTACCCTTGTAAAGGGAAGATGTCTAAACTGCACAATACTTTCATTTTCTCAAGTATTTATACCCTTCAAGCCTCTGAACCTCTAAACTGACAGCATGCTGCGGGGATCATTTCTTCCAGCCATAATTTATAATTTATACATTGTAAATTTTCCTATGGAAGCGTGGGAAATTTACTTGAATAGATTGCTAGACTCTGAGGCATTTTGTTTTTAAAAACTCTGTTAAATTAAAAAAACAATGAACTGGAAGAATAACTTATCTCTGGTATATGTTCAGGCTTTTGCCTTCAGGGACTCCCAGCAACCAAAGCAGAGCACAGTCTGGAGCACAGTGAGGATCCAGGACTCTCACCTTTGGACCTTTGGCAATTTGCTCTGAGCTTTCTAAACCGTTTGCCTCAGCTGCTTGCTGTAGACTATATAAGTGGAGGTCCAAGTCAGAAGTCTCATTCTGCCTCTGAGGCGTTAGCAAAGAGGTGAAGAGGGGAGGGAAGGAAAAGCAGAGGAGAGGAGAGGAGCAAGAGGGTTCGGGGCTCACCATGGGCCCTGTGCAGCTCTTGCTGCTCTTGTTGCTCCTCAGCAGTGGTGTTCTCACACGTAAGTACCAACTTTTATATCAGTGCTTTTTGATGCTTTGTTTGATGAACCCATTAAAACTATAACAATGCAGCAGGACAATAGACTATAGAATCACAGAGGATAAGTGTGAGAAAGATGTCATCTCTTCTCTTTATAGGACTGGGCAATCATAGGAGGATCCCAATGCAGGAAAAGTTGCAAGTGTTGTCTGTGACTTTGGATTAGATTTAATGTATTTTGCAATTTATAAGGCATTCTCGTAATTTATTTTTGCCTAATTGTTTTTTTGTTTTTGCATAAAGTTATCCTTTTCAGTTCCATGGAGATGTTGTGACTTACAGTTCAGACTTACCCCAGCTGTTGCTAACCTATTTTGTGGCAACTGTAAAAAACTGGAAGTGGTAAAATAAAATGTATTTGGAAGGTGGTACTGACATTTGAAATACAACTATGTATTAAAGAGAGACAGTCATCAGTAGTAGTAGAAGTAGCAGGCCGGTAGAGATTTCTTGTAAGATCAGAAAGGATGTAGCCTGGATCAATATGATTTAGTGGATTGTAAGCTATCTCCTTGCTTCCCAGAAAGTGTCTTTTTAGAATGTAACATTACAGTGTTATGTAAGACTTAAGGAGCCTTAAGGAGGAAAGTTGCTCAGGGGCCAATTATATAGGTCTGAACCAATGTCTGATTTTATATGCAGATCAAATCCATCATAAATACACCTTTGTTGAACTAATGTCCTTTTACTGAGTGAACTGATGTTACGCTATTTTACTGGATGCATTTATTTCTAACTTATTACTAGTGCTGTTATATTGAATGGTCAGCCTTAAAATCCCCGGTATGGGAACTTAGAAAGTCTACAGGGAGCAGTCTGAAAAGTGCCAGCATTCGTGTGTGATGTTCCAAAGAGTAACATATCATCAAATGAATGCAATAAATTGTGTAGATTATTATTATATTTTATTTAAAATAGAAAATCACATGGGACTTAAGACCCTCTTAACTGGAATGAGCTTCCAATAAATGTTCTTTTCCTTAGGAGTATAAACTCTCAATATTCGAAGTAATTGTCAGAAATTGATTTTTTTAAACAAAAGATTCAACAAATAAATATTTGTCCTGATCATCAACATTGATAAATGTTTTTTATCTGTCTCTTGCCAATTCCCATTTCTTCTATTTTGTCTACCTGAAAAAAAAATCTCAGAGAAGATTTAATAGCAGAGAACTGTCTTATTACTCATCACAGTTGTCATTTTACAAACGCATAGAAAGCAAAATATAGCCATTCATCCATTATGCAGTGTTTCTGGGCGTTCAAATAGACTAAAACTTTAAAGTAAGCCAGCTGTGTTGTACAGTGTATTCCATCTGTCTACCTCTACGTTTTTGGGCCTCTCGTTTATGAACTTTCTATTTCACACATCCCAGGGCTTTTAAAAATATTTGTTAACCCGGAAGCTGATCCTTCTCAATTTGAATCAAAGTAGTTTAATTTAATGATCTCAGGATCCTATTCTGAGCTATTAATTCACAATATCAAGGCACTTAGAGTAACTCCCTTTAATCTTGACTCAGTACCATCAATGTTAATAATGTACATCCACGTGCCAAACTACATCAAAAGTTAGTACAAATTGGCAGGATCTTACACTGAAAGTGTAGTATTCACATTTTTATTTCCATAGTCTTTGCTTTATAGCTATAAACTGTTTATCCAGCTTTTAACTCTTGTTTTTATTATTTGCAGAAGAAGAAACACCTGAAAGTGGAAACCTAGGCTGTTCAAGTAAGTGATTTGTTGCATATGCTTTCGTTATCTATATTTATATATTAACTGAATACATGTTTCAAAGCTTGACTTTTCGTATTCCGTAAATCTCTTCCTCTGAAATAGCCAAAACAAAAGTGATGGCCGTATTCTGAAGTCTTTATTGCCATTTATTTTAGAAATGTAATAATCCGTAAGGCATGGCCCAGAATTTCAGGAACTTTTTCAGATTTGAAAAGTTGAGACTGTGCTGGAAACGTCTAAAAAGCTCTCTTTAAGAAACTTTGCATTTCATTGCTTTATTGATTTCTTTATGTGCTCTCGAAGGTACAAATTCCTTACTGTGGAAATCTCTATTTATCAGTTATGAAGCTTGAGTAATGAGGTTATGTACATTTCACTTTAACTTGGGCTGAGTCTCACTTTTGATTACCTTTCACAGTGGCTGCTAAACCCACAGAATTGCACTTGGATATCTAACTAAATGCCTGTAGCATAAATCATCAACTCAACCGCAATTTATTAAAATAAGTCGAGACTCGGGAAATGCTGACATTATACCCTATCTTCATAATAAACTGACCCTGACTTGCTTGGTTAGACACATAATGTTCCACCATAGGGTCAAAGTACCAGATGAGTTGTTTTGTTCTTTGTCCCTTATGATCTTCAGGGTTTTTTTCCTTGTTGGATACTTTAGCACCACCTCTAGGCAATCAAGTTTATTTCAACTATCTAAATCAACTCCAAAGACTTTTCTGGGCTTCTCTGCCAATTTCTTGTATATTTTTAATATAATAAATTCTTTGGTATTTGCACTTGTAATTTTACCATTTCCCTACTCCTTTCCCATTGATTTCTGTTAAAAAGCAAGAAATTGAGCAATAATTAGCATTTTAGTTTTAGTATAGTAGACACTGGTGTTGCAAAAATTTCTGAGAATGTACAGTTAAATAATAGTATAGTCCAGGACAGCAGGAAGTTAAGAGAACAAGTAAGCTGCATTCATGGCAGATATGAGCAAGCAAAATTGTACGGAGTTGATGGTAGCCATGTGGGTTTACACTAAAATGGTTTTATCTTTGTTTTCTGTAAAAGTGGATCAGGATTGAAATATGTTCAGACAGTCACAAATAACTGCACAGGAGCAACTTAAGAAAGTGATTGTTCACTCAGCATCACAGTAGCAGCGTAATCCCAGAGAGTTGCCCAGTCTGGACAGAGAGAGCAACAGCTAAGCTGCTCTAACACAATCACTTAAAATGCCTGATCTTGTTCTTTGTTTAAAATGATGCCTATATATAATGGGAGTGAATTGTACCTGAGGACGTTATTTGCCCTACATTATATGTTCCTGACACCAAAAGAAGGTCTTTGTATTTGCTATTGAGCCAAAATAGTCTTTTCTTTATGTCTCTGTTACTCATTTATTCTTGCTTGTATGATTTACTATTATAGCTGAATTGCCTCTTAGGGCAACTGAGACAGATTCAGCATGGGTAAAATTCATCCCTTTGAGAACACCCATTTTGGGTTTTAGGGCTTCTTTTGATCTAAAGAGAGACACCTCTACAAATACCGCCTGCTGCTCATTCTTACTCAAGAACTTAGTGATTTTGTTTTGTTTTGAATGCTCTTTATACATGTAAAATTTCTCTCTACTAAAAATTCAACTCCACTGAAATTCACTGATCTAATGAGTGAATTCATTAGAGTAGATGATATTTCAGGAACAGTCAGGAGCGGGTTGATATTCTCTAGATTTGGGTGAAATGGTAAAGAGGAATGCTAATTTTGTTGTTCTTTCCCTTTCTGTGCTTATTTACTTTCAGTTTTAGCCATGTGACAGATAAATTAGCTCCTTTCATTTGAATTATGATGCAATAGTCTGAGCTGAAGTGAATCATTTTATTTGCAATTTAAAAAGTACCCATTTGTTTGGTCCAATTGAAATGCAGTGTGGTCAATTTGAAAACAGTTTTACTAATTATCCACATCTTATATTTCCTTTATTTTTGTCACTGATTTTAATGAGGCGTGAGTTTAAGGCCAAATGGGGTCGTATTATCAGATCTTCTTGTAACACAGAGTAGTAAACCCAACTGTTCAGCCCACAACTTCTGTCTGAGCTATAAGTTACACTTCAGAAGTATCCACCTGACATGAAGACATTACTTCTTTGTCTGAAAACTCTTCTATAGCAAATATAAAAAGAAAGAGTGGGATGGTTCTCACACTTCCCTTATATATGGCATTCATTTTAGTCACACAACATGAGCTAAGTGTGTATTGTGAGGATCCACATAGGCATATCCTACAGAAGTCATAAAAACACACTTATTTTTCTATTCGCAGAAGATACAACCAGATTTAAACACCTCAGGAAATATGTATACTTATACGAAGCAGAAACATCAAATGGGGTCACTGGAACAGCAGATTCTCGAAGTGGTTCAAAGATCACCTGCAAGGTAAGGAAAGAGAAGTAAATACAACACATTGGGACTGTTTACCTAAGAATGTTGGAGATGGCAACCAGGGAGCATTCTTCAGTGTTTTTCCCAGCAGGGCCATTCTTTCGAATTTTGAGAATCCTGAAGACTAAAAGTCCTTCGTTTTGTAGACAGGATGTACTGAGGATGGCAGAAGTCTTT